CAGGCTCCACCTCTATTAGAGAGTTGGTGAGCAAGTTGGTGCCCAAAGTTGGTGCCTCTACCACCACCCTATTCTTTATGCTATTGAGAGAAAATATGCAATCTTACTGTATCATTTATTTATACTATGAGGGTGTCTTGTCTTGTATCAAGATAAGAACTAGATTCTTTTAGTTGTGCTTATTTTTTTATGTTATCTTTTGTGACTTCCTCATTATCCCGTTGGACATCCGTCCTTCTTTAGATGAAATACAGCGGACAGTAAATTAACTTTGCCTATAATGCAAAACTAGTCTCTAATTCGACTTTCATCATGGTCTATGTAATTTTAATTTTAAGAATATGACTTATATTCTTACTTACTTTACACAAACCCTTATTTTCGTTAATTGAGTGGAGGAACTGGCTATGTATCGAGCTAAATTACACAAACCCTAGTGAAAATCAAGCCAAATTACATTCGCCCAACATATATTCCCCCAAAATGACCACTTCGTCTACTCAATTGACGGAAATAAGAATTTTACCTGTAATGTTAAATAATTACATGGGTAACTCATAAGAATTTTATGGTCATAAATATCAAATAACTACATGGGTAATAATGCCCAAACTAGGGACCTCAGTGCAAATGAAACTACAAGGATACTTTTGTAATTTGGTCATTAACTTCCTTTGAGAAGAGGGGATTATGATAAGTCCAAATATTCTTAAGCCCAAACATTTCAAGGCCCAAAGTCCACCTTAGCTCTAGGCCCAGACTTTAGCAGCTCAACCCCTTCCAGCCGAGCCAACTATATTTCAAACTCCCCTCTTCTCTCACTTTCAGTTCTGCAACTCTCCGAGTCTTTCTTTACTTTCTTCTTCAGTCTCCCATTGTCGGTGGACGTTCCCTTATTCTTTTCTATTTACTTCAATCAACTTCTCCTGCTGGTCTCGTGCGTGAGTGTAAAAGGTGAAACGACAAAGCTCACATGCCGTTTGATTGACAGAGCCACATAGTTTTCGAAGCGGGCTGAAGGTGAGGGCAGGGCACTAATATTTATCTGCAGTGATTTTTAAATTTTATAGAAAATATGCCTCTTCTATTAAACATTGTTTCCGCTTTGCATAACAAGAATAGATGGAGAGCTGATAATGGTGTGTTTTTAAGCAGGTGATGTTTGGTTGCTGGATGAAGCACGGACACTGCTAATCTCCAAAAACTAGGATTCGATACGTCATGGATATGGTTATTAAAAATAGAAATTAGGTCAGTCGAGGTCTTCTTCTTCTTCGCGCGCTCCGATCTCTCTCTCTCTCTCTCTCTATATTCACACGCAGCGCCCAGGGGCTCCTCAACAGCCCCTCAACGGCAAACTTGGCCCGGAGCTCGTGTCTGATATGTCGGACCGTATCCGAAGCGTATCTTATCCAAACGAGTATCCTTTTGTGGAGCTGAAAATTGTAACTTGAATGGTGAGTTTTATTTATCATTATATTAGAGAAAGATTATATTTTCAAGTTATTTCAAGGCTTCAAAAAGGGGAAAAAAAAGTTTCTTAGTATTTGTAAACCTTTGCTGATGGATTATGAGTTTGTTTTGAATTCTTTTTGTGCGGACGTATCTGATTCTAAGGTTATTTTCTATTTGAAGTTTGAGCTGAAATGGAAAGGAACTCAGCAGCATGTGTGATGGAATGGAGCAGAGCTAGAAAAGGCCCTGCGCTCCAAGAAATCCGGTCGCTCGCTTGAAGCCATTTCGGAAATCAGTCCAAGACTCCAACAGTTAAGTAGAGAGCCAGACCCTTCTCCAGCTGTCTACTATGTGTTCGACCTAATTCCTGGTGAGGACAAGCTCTTCTCCAATGCTATCATCCTTCCATTCGAATGTGGAGAGAAGCACACAAGACTCTGTATTTTCAAGACCTTTCTGTTTGAGTGCAGGAAGAGGAACAAACGGAAACAGTGTAAAGGAGTTTTGTGCAAAACTCGGGTTCACATGCAGGTAGAATTGCTGAGGAGAGTTAAGGTTGTGTTTGACAGTGGGGATATTGAGGTAGGGCTTTGGCTTTGGGTCTGTTTGGCTGTTGGGCGCATTTCGCTAAAGAGAGTCCGAGTATACGATACTTGGTGCTTTCTAGTTTGGTTTCTTCTCATGTTTTGGAGGTAAAAGCATCGTTATTTGCAGCAGGATGTTTTGCTGAGTTATCAGAGGACTTTGCTTGTGTTGTCTTGGAGATGCTGCTTCAGATGATGAGTTCACCAGAAACCTTGCCTGCTCTAAGGTTGGCCGGAGCACGATTATTTGCCAAACTTGGGTGCTCCTATTCTCGTGCAAATAATGCTTACAAGGTTGTATTGCAATTCAATTTTTTTTACCTGACTTCTTTTGTAGTTTTTCACTTATGTATTAGATTCTAATGCTCACTGTTGTGTAGATACAGCTGCACCAAAATGGATTCAACTGCATCCTCAACTTGTGATACTCGCAAGTGCACGAGCCGTTTGGTAGTATAGCATATGTAAGTGCGAGGTCGATCCCACGAGGATTGGTGATTGAATGATCCAATTCATTTCCCTACACAAAACAGAAATGAAAAAGAAAGGAAATAAATAAAACAAGAAAGAAAGAAAATAACTAACTCAAGTAGATAAGTTCCCAAGTTCAATTAGATTAACGGATTGATTCTAGCTAATGTATGATTAAGCCATGGTGTTTGGTCATAACCTTGTGTTCCTAATTCCCTAATTTGATCATTTGTTGTCTAACCTAAAATTAAGCATTAGGAACCCATTAAGCATAGAAGAACAATTTAAACAAC